ATATGTAATTCATCGCCCTCCTTTTCTTTCTTCCTCTTCCTCTTATTTCTCGCTCGACCTGGACATGTCTCCGTGTCCTCTCCCCGTCCTGCTGCAGCTGCTGCGGCGGCGGCTGAACAGATGATTTGTTTCAGTGATCAGGTGAGTTATTTACTTTAAGCCTACATACGAATATTATAATATTTTTGTGAGCCAAATTTATTTTATATGCCAACATCTATGAAAGAAAGAGCCATGCGTCATTTGGGCACAGATGGTTCCTATTTTAATGCCATTTTTGGAGTTTATGTTGTGATCTGTGCGCACAACCCACTTTTGTCACGTGAGGTTTGAATATATGCAACTTTATGTGAGTGTTTTTATTTGTGGAAAAGGGTGTTTGTCTTACCAGTGGGCACAACATTACACACACCAAATCCATATGTGCTCATATGAGAGAGTGTGGAGGATGCCCAATGCAGCGCTTACAGTGACACTTGTTGAGGGGCTGCATTCTGTTGCCATCCTATGGCATTGCTGTCTTCACACATCTCTTGATCTCTTTGACTATTTCATTAAAGTTGGAATACGCCTCGCTGGTGGCGGATTTAAAGGCAAGGAGAGGAGCTTATGTGATTGGTGAAAACAGGTCTCGGCTGTGTTAAACCCACTCCACACCCACTCTCCTCCCTCCCTACGACTTACGCCGCTGGGAGGAGCTGAGTTAGGGAGGGGGGATACTTACGCCGGGCTGCGCCGCTCAACAAAATACCAAATTGTGCTTGGGAACGTCATGTTGGCGTGGCAGACCTCACTTACGCCACGCATGCACCGCGTCACCGGCGAGGCACGAAAATAGAGCCCCTTGAGTTAATGCCTGAGAGTCCTGCTACATCCTGCTCATTCTGATCTATTCAAACACGCAGTTAACACAAACACACATCAGTATTATGCAAAATGGTTCTGAGGTCACAAATGAAAGCACAAAAATAAAACTTCATGACTTGGTTTTGAGGAAACTCAATTATTCCGATACTTTCTGCTAGTTCCTGTGGTTTGTGAACGGTCAGTGTTTTTTTAGTTTTCTGATGAACAGAATTATTTGTTGCTATTAGCTCAGGTGATACTTGACTGAAACCCATCAGCACTGACAGAAAGTTACTCCGGCTTTACATTGAAGATGTGAGCAGTGCATGACAGTCACAGGAGGATACCACTTTCATTTCAGTCTGTATGCTAACTTATCAGACCTCCGGGGTGATCAGTTATGCATAAATCACGTAAAACAGCAGCAAATTATTCACTGCAAGACCTTTTATCAGCTGAAGTTACGTATGACAAAACTAACAGATAAATCCAATGCATGAAATATACACGACGTTTAAGCTTCTGCTTTTGAAAATAATATAATGAAAATAATAATGAACATGCCTTTGAAAAAAAGTCATGAGGTTACCCATTACCTAGCTAACTTTGAGACACTGAATGAATCATAGTTTTTTTCTTCAGCACTTGAATCCCATCAATTTTTGCACCATTTGCTGACACAACACATGACTGTCTGCAGTGCTCTCACTAAATTCAGTTCAGACTCAGCCCTGTCCACAGGAAACTGTATCCCAGCTTGTGTGCTGGTTCTCTCAGTGGCTTCTGAATCAAAGGACAAAACTGAGCAGTATGTATTTATTTTGGCTGATGAGCTTACTGATGATATCCAACTCATACAGCCCCACTTCAAAAATAGTGTACAATCCCTTTAATATTTATGAACAATGGGAACATTTCATTTCAGTGTCCAGATTATATGAACAAATAAGCATATGCCTCTTTCCTACATGAAGTCAATCTTTATTGAAGAAGTGCACCAACTATCGCTAGGTCACGAATACAGGGCTGACAGCAACATGCAGCCATGTGTGAAAACCATGACTTGATGAGCCCTAACTGTCTTTACCAAGTCAGACTCAGGTTCACATGGCTGCATCAGGAGCTATGGACAGCCAGGAGGAGGCGATTTCAGGTCTGGGTCTGTGCATGGCCAAACAGAACCAGAGCAGGACAAACAAGAAGAAACCTCAGTAATCAGCCTTCCAGTCCTGGACCAGTATCAACAGAGACACCAATTAAAGAAGAGGTGATCCACAGCTGATTCAGACTCTTAGCACTGGGTGGATTTGATATTGTGTTTAGATCCTAGCTGTTTTATTTGAGGGACTTTATCAAAGCAGCAGCCTGGTCACCATGGTAACCCTGTTTCAAAAAGAACAGGAGCAAAATCAGCAGAAACATCAGCTGCTGCATGACCTTCACTCCAAACCTTTTCTTAAGGAGGATTAGAAAAGATTACCCCACCATTTAGAAAGAGTCCTGGTCTGGGGAGGATCAGAGGACCCTTTTCACACTCTCAGACCTCATCATAAAGGTCTCTGCTGAGGGGCCTTCAGAACAATGATTGAAATATGATCCATGGAACTTTGGACAAGCCCTTAACAACCACACACAATTTATGTCACAGATCAGGGGGTTGCAACCACTACCTCTGCAATCTGCTGCAGAGTCACAACCTCAGTTTCTGCCACCAGAGAGAGAAAAAGCAAATGCATCAGGCTTGAAGAGGAAAACCCAGAATCTCCAAGTCCTTCCAGCTGTCACATTATAGAAGTGTTTTCTTTTTATTCCCGAGAAGTTATTATTGTTTATCCAGATGCAATCCCTTCAGTGATGAATAACCTCTAAAACAAGGTTTCATGGGCCATGAGGCAAAACAAGATGCAGAAAAGTTTCAGCAAGAGAGCTCAGAACTCAGAGGTCAGGTTTAGTCTTTGGAGGCAGCACTGTTTGTGAATGTGAATGTCACATGTCACATTCATCCATTCACATCACATTTATACACTGATTGCAGAGGCTGCTATGCAAAGAGTCTACCATCAGTCTTTGACCAATCCATTCACACACCACTGGCTGCAACCAGCCGAGGCGAGTGGAGTCAAGTGCCTTGCCCAAGGACACTAGCATGTGGACACTGGGACCGGGGACTGAACTCCTGACCTTTTGGAACCATTCAGAAGACAACAGACTCCAAGCTGTTTGCTCAGAGAGAAAGACAGAGTGTGAGATGTGAGTCTCTCTCTCAGCAGTCCTCACACACAACAAGCAGCTGAATGAACTCAGGCTGAAGTCATTCTCTCTGCTGCTTATTAATCAGCAGGTCACATGACCACTTTACTGGGTTCACTGGGATTTGGCAAACAGTGTGGGAGAGGAGGACCAGCTCAGGGAGCTCAGGCTTTACTTTAGTTCATCTGGAGATGGAAGTGATGGAACTGTATTTGATATCCAGCCACACTGTATGAAAAATTAATGACATGAAAAAGCTTTATGACTGCATGCTTGGTTTATGATGGATTGACCTGACACTATTTAACTTTATTTCACATATTCTAGGTCTGCTGTTTAGATGAAGTCTGGGCCTGGATCTCTCTGAGCCTCCTGCAGACCCACACAGACTGAGGCAAAAGGCTCCAAAAACTAAACTCCTCTAAGTCTTTGAACCAGGGCTTTAATTAACCCTGGTTCCCTAGCCCAAGTGTTTTGAAAAGACCCCAATGTTTTACAAAATTCCCAAACTCCCTCATCATGGGTGTGAGTAGAGTACCTGATGGGGATGTTGTATTGAGACATTTGTACTTCCTCATGTGTGCCTTGACTTATTAGTTACATGGTATTCTTCCTTTATACTTATTTCTAGTACAGTATGAATATCTCATTTGAATCACTATTAGAATCAAAAATACGGTTTTATTAGTATAGCCTTAGTTTGAATAGAAAAGGGTGTTATTAATGTGTCATGATGGACTGAAGCAACTTCAAGGTGGGACCAGAGATTTTGTGGATGGTCTATACATGGCCCTCTGACTTCTGACCCTGTAACACATCAGAGAGTCACTTTATTTCCTGTCAGAAAAAAAAAAAAACATCTTTGGAGAGCATCTCCATAGATTTGTTGCTTCCCTTCTTTATCTGCTGCTTCACTGCTGAGGACACTCTGAAATCCAATACTGCACACTGACAATCGACACAAACTGAATGTGAAAAAATCAATCTGGCTTTCATAGTCTGAAAAACTGTCTACAACCCAGAAATGATCCATTTGTGACAAACAAAAACAGATGAAATTATGTAACAACACTAATAACAGCTCCACAGACAGAAGAATCTCAAAGAAAACAGGATCAGAATGACTCCTTTACAAAATGCTTTCAGCAAACTATTAGTGTCTTTTGTTGTTTCCGTCAAACAGACAAAGCAGCAATTTCACACCTGAGGTGGAACAATTTAATAACTCTGAATCACACACACTCATCAACTATCTATAACAGGATATTTAAGAAAACCACATCAATAAAACTGTGAAAAGGAATGAAAACTTTAAAAACATGCAGACCATTCATTCCCTTTTCTGCTCAATCTTGCAAGTTTTTTTTCCCTTTATATTATATTTCCCTATATTTTCACCTCTTTATCCAAACAAAAGCCTCAGACTTTGTCAATTTTTCTTTTGTTAAAGCGTGTTAAACAAAGTCACACAAGAATGTGACGATCCCGCTGGATTAGCTGGTGCTGGAAACACAAATTTGATCTCTAGACTGAGGGTCTGCTCTGTTTTTAAACTCTGCTCCCAGGTTTACCAGGAGACCAACAGAGACCTGTTTCCAGCAGCAGCTCTGCCTCTTTCTCCTGGGGATCCTCCTGAGTTTTTGCTGCCCTCTGATAAGAAGAGAAGCCTTTTTGGCTGACACGGGGGTGGGGGGGTGAATCCTGACCACACAGCAAACAGTGTGTTCATCCAGCCACATGGGGAGGTGGGGTTAGACAATGAGGCTGCCTCATTACCAGTGTTTATCTGGAGCTGGATTTATCCTCCAAACACTGCTCTCTTCTTTGTTACACTGATGATTTCTGCTCTCAGGGAGATTTGGTACACAAATGTTCCTGTGTCTGAGTTTGTTCCTCCTTGTTAAAACACCCACTGATGTCAGCAGGTGATCATGTTCCTTCTGCTCACCTAAAGAGGAGGAGGAGGGAGATGATCACATGCTGACATCAGTGGGTGTTTAAGTGTGTTCATGTAGGTTTTTTATTAGAGATGATAACTGTCTGGGTTTAGACTCTCCCTGGAAATATTTCCAGTTTGTCTTGTCTCAGCAAAGTAAACTGTTCGAACTCTTCACATTACACCATTAAATTTGTTCAGCTGCTATCCCTTTGTTTTCATTTCTCTGGCACAAGGGAACGAGAACCTCCCCCATCAGTCTTTGAGTTCCATGCTTTTACCTTGAAGATCTGCATTCATCAGTCGTCAAAACGTCACAATGAACTTCATCATACAACCTGAGAGAGGATGGTACAAATACAGTTACAGGTTGCCATGCTGCATCTTCTTGAAAGCGGGAATCACTTGGAAGAGGCTGAAGAGTTGCGGAGTGGAGCTTTTCTTTGATTTTCTACTGTAGGTTTAAATAAAGCCGCAGCTAAATCTGACTATTACAGCCTACTACTAACCTTTAGTCCACATGGAGCAACCAAACAAAGCTACAACTTCAGCTACAGGGTGACAAGTTTCAGTGGTTCAGTGTACACTTTACTCTGTCTTTTAAAGTCTGACCTACATTTTCCTGGTGCAGCTGGTCACATGAGAAAGCAGCTCTAGGTTCAGCTTCAAGTCATGGACAAACCAGAACAGTTATGGTGACTGTTTTTTTTCTCTTCTTTTCTGGTAGTGACCTTTTTAAAAAATCTTTCTTTCTTTTTTTAAGGAAGCTTGTTCGTGACTTTGTGAGAAAGTCAAATCTGAGAGTGACACTGTAGTGTACTTTGCATGATGATGATTGTGTCCTTCAAATTTAGATAAAACCGATGCTCATTTTAAATGGAGCCTTCGGCACCCTCTCACAGCAGATCCAGCCTGTGGCTCATCCTCTCCAGCTGCACAGACAAGTGCTTCAAACACTTTTTCAGTGCTGATGTCAGCCAGATGTGCAGCTCTTTCTGCCACAGCAGCTGATTGACCTCCTTCAGTGGAGGGACAGAGAGCCTGAGCCCAGCTGTCTCTGACTGTCTCCATCAGTTTCTCTGCATAGTTTTTCTCTGCTCCACTCTCTACATCAGCCCACAGCTCCTGACCTGCAGGCTCCTCTGCAGGTTTATCTGTAACCCTCCAAAGACTGATTCTCTTATGAACAGTGAGATGAACACAAGCTGCTTCTATTTGTGGTTATCATCTCATCAGAGCATGATAGGAACTTCTCTAACAGCTTCTGCCTCCATTCATGAAACCCAATATCTCATGTTAATCAGTGATGGCAGGTAACAGGTCAGCTCTACATACACTGATACTTAAAGGATTAACTGATTCAGAGCTGATACTAGCGCTATTACTTTTTTTTTTTTTTGAATACTTAGCTCCATTTACTCCAGAAGATCTTTGTCTATAATACACAACATTTAAAAGATGCTAGCCAGCTTTTTTCCTAACATGTTAACACACGCTTTTGTTCTCCAACATGACCAACATTGTTTTGACATTGACAAGATGACTGGTTCATGTCCTCTTGAGCTGATTCTACTCTTCATGAACTCAGACTGCAACAGTTGGGTGGACTTTGTAGGCAGACAGCGTTTTCTCTAAAGGTCCTTACACACCAGGGGCGAATTCGCCAGGCGAATTATTTGCCTTTTTTTAAAACAGCATAAAGTCAATGCAAGCTTCCACACCGGCTGCGATTTTTCCGCGGGGCGAAAAGCGTCTTTTATTTTTTCGCTGTTGTGTCGAATTTTTCAGAGATTCGCAGGCGAATATCTGGACCTGCTAGAGCTCTGGCCAATCAAAAGCCATGTTGTTGATGATATTCATTTATCAAGCACGCTATGGCAAACCCATCCAGCTCCTCTTGGAGACGAGTGAGCTATAGATAAGCTATTATGTGCTAATATACATTATAACGGGGCTTTCAAGAAAATGGGACTTTGTCTCATTCATATAGAATATTGCCTATTATTTTTAATCTTACCTCAGACATGTGGTACATTCCTCTGGACCAATTGGCTCTCTGTAGTTAGTTGTCTGCTACTCCAGCCGTGGGGTCAGCTGCTGGAGGAGGTCGTTAAATTGCCCAAGGGACATTCTAAAATACTGGCGGAATTTTGGGGGGTAGAACTTCGCTTTGCAAAATTTATACGCATATTCGCTTTGCGCCCGGTGTGTATAGGCGAAAGCAATTTTTTTCGGACCGGCGAATATTTTCGCATTTTCGTCTCACTTTTTTGCTTCGCTCCGCAAATTCGCCGGTGTGTAAGGACCTTAAAACAGAGCCCATCATCTGGAGCAAACACTCTGATCCTCTCTGGACTTCAAACTAATCTTCACAGCACATTTAACTATCAATGCCTTATAGTATATTAGAGCAGGATCTCCATAACCAGCAAACCATAGTTCTGCGTGTGCTCCAGTTATCAGCATTTAAATACATAAATCAGCAGTCAATAACTCTGATCTGTGCTGGAGCACAAAAACCAGCAGGCCATAGCTCCGCATGTACTAATCCACATTTGAAAACAACACTCAGCCATCAGATGTTCAGTCAGAGTGTGATCAGAAACAGAGAGTCTGCAGTGTGAAGGCTGCTACCGTACCAGAGTGGTGGAGAATAAGACGCCTGGAGACAGTCCAACTTTAGACCAGACTGAGAGATCTGTTTCACTTACCTAGAAAAAGAGAGAGATATCAATTAGATCAATTAAATGAAACATTTAGACTGTTTGCTGCATTCACTAGAAGAGATTATTCAGGTATTCATTCATTCACATCTGTTTTTATCACTGACTAATTGACAAGATTTGAATATCCTGAAGAATCATCCAGAAAGTAAAAGTCTTTGACTCACAGTCAATCTATTACACTGAATACAGCACAGCTTTGATTTGGTCCTTGGTTTCCTGCTAAAACCTGCAGATACAAAGAAAACAGCAACACTGTGTTGCTTACTAACTGTCAGATAGTAGATTTACTCATGTTGGAGGTGAATAATAAAATGTTGGTGCACTTTTTTTCTGGCTATTACAGTGTGCTGCTTGTATAATTTTTTGAAATGAACATTATCAGTCCTACAAACATCATGACCTCTGGTGTTGAATGACTTCAATAAAACAGCATATGGAGGCTCAATATGATAATCAGCAGCATAATGTTCAGTTTTGCTGGTTTGATCCTTCATTTGGCTCCACAATAGGACTGACTGTGGGCCTGGACTGTTGCCAAGCAACATGTTTTCCTCCACTCTGTGTGAATCTGCATGTTTCAGCAGCTCTCACTAGCATTTATCTCTATCCAAACTGAGACACTGTGGACAGCTGCTTTTAGCTGCTGTGGTAATTTTGTTTTGGTGGTCTGAGTGATTCTGAGCAGTGTTGCCAGTTTTCCACTCAGTTGGAGGTTTTTGGTTGCATGGTGCAGGTTAAAATGGGCACAGATGGGCTGACATAGTACGTAAGGGTTAAATCCATAACCCACAATCAACCACAGCACATGCTAGAACTGCAAATAAATGCACACAGACTTTCTGCTGCAACAACATCATCTAAGTGTCTACAATGGAGGTGGCAGAAAGAGGTTTTTAACCCTCCTATTATCCTCAAATTTTACTAACACATTTTACCCTTGGGGTCAATCTGACCTCAGGTATATTTGCCTCGAGAGAATGATTTACATGCAGTTGTTGACCAAGATTTTTTGTCAGGCGCTTTTTTATTTGTTGAATACATAAATAACCCCTTAAAAATGAAACTTATAGGTGAATTAACCTGTTCTCTAGCGCCACCAATAGGCCAAACTTTTAAAGTAGAATTAATGTATCTTCAAAAGTTTTCATACAAATCTTCTCAAATTTACTGACAACCTTAATGACCACAAGGGGATGAACCCTACTGTTTTTGGTGATGATATGACCTTTTCTGTAGCACCACCATCAGGTCAAACTTTCAGCTTTAGAGTTAGTGTATCTTGAAAATCTTTCATCCAACATTTTTCTCATCTGAGGTGCACATTCATGACTCTCACAGAATGAACCGTACTGATTATTTTGCATGAACTACCAATGTCCTTGAGGCAATACCCCACCCTCCACATCACAGGAAATACAGTATCAGTCCTATACTTCGACATGTATGAGTACAGTAGGTCACTCTCTCTCTCACACACACACACACACACACACACACACACACACACACACACGAAAAGTCATGAAATATGAAGCAAAAAAAACAAAAGTCAGCTATTATTTTTTAAATGATCAACATTGAATGGGGTCAAATTGACCCCAAGGAAAATAGGAGGGTTAAAGATTGCAGATGATGAAAGTTACATAGAAAGTTACCTTGTAGGCTACTAGACAGTAGTGCCAGACTTAACACAGTTGTACAAAACCACACAAGGTGATGTTTATACTCAGAGCCAGAGCTTGTCAACAGGCAAAGCAGACAGTTGCCTTGGGCCCTGGCCACTCGGGGGCCCCCAAGGGCTGACAGAGCTTACTCCACAGAAATGTCTTGAAATATTGCAACCCCATTAAACAACCAGTGTTCAAATTGCAATGACATCTTAGATGGATCCCCCCCTTAAAGGGTCCCCATGTCATCCCTGTCGCACTGCTACGTGACCTACATCCATCTTTACTGATGTGTGTCAATCAAAGTACCATCAAAATCAGCTGTGAAGTGGAGCTACTTATCAGGGAGTGAGAAAAAAAAAAGAAAAGTTAAGACAAAGAATTAAGGAGAAAGCAAGACAGCAGTTTGTGGAGCAGATAGTAAGTGTGGCAAACACTTTAACTAGCAATAGGTGTAAGACTGGCTGTTAATTGTTTAGTATTAAGTTAGCCTTGTTAGCAAAGTGGGAGACATTAGCCTGGAGTTCCTGCTTTATTGACTCGCTGTTACGATGTGTTGACACACCCACACTGTCTTGCAAGGTTAGCCAACAGAGAGAAAAGTGCACTTGTAAGATACAATACTGAAAGTTCACCAAGCTAACTAAACCACTGGTAAGGGAGTGACTT